AATTACCCTCTTAGCCATTTTAGGTGCATAATGCAACACCATTAATTATGTTCACAATGGTGTGCAACCATCACCACTCTTTAATTCTAGAATATTTCATCACCACCAACAAAATCTCTGTACTCATTAGGTCCTAACTCCCACTCACTCCTCAACCCAGCCCTGATCACTTCTAACCTGGCTCCTGTCCTATGAGTTTAACTATTGTTGTTATTTCATCTGAGTGGAATATTTGTCCTTTGGTGTGTGGTCCATTTCACACGGTGAAATATTTTCAAGATTCAGCTATATTCTGGCAGTATCAGAGCTCCATTCCTTTCTGTGTTTGAATACAATGCCGCCAGGGATTTGGCGCTGTGGTTTCCCCACATGCTGAGCAAGCCCAAGGACCCAAGTTCGATCCCTGGTACCAACCCCCCCCAAAAAAAAAACCCCTGAATACAATGCCATTGTATGTTTACACCACATTTTACTTATTCATTATCCTTTGATGAGCATTTGGGGTGTCTCCAGCTCCTGGCTGCTATGAACAAGTATTTGCTTGAGTTCCCTGTTCAATGCTTTTGTTCTATACATAGGAATGGATTTGCTGGGTCATATGGTGAGTCTATGTTTAACTCTTTGAGGAATCAAAACTGTTTTCCTCAAAGACTGGGGAGTTTTACATTCACCCCAGCAATGCATGAGGATTCCAATCCCTCTTCCCTTTCCTGAGGCCCAGCCTCCACACTTGCAGCTGCCTTTGGATGTCCCCACAGCACATATGGCACAGACCCAGCCACCGCAGAGCATTGGATGCAGAGGACAATAGGGCTGTGTGAAAACAGCCCATCCAATGCCGCACAGACCCAAGGCTCGTGGGTGGGCTGAGCGTGAATCTATCTGTTGCATGCTTGCATCACAATAAAAAAAAGCGTCTTTCCAAGGCCATGTCAGAATGTCCCACAGACCTGGTCAAAATGGCATCTCCAGAGTATCATTTATAAACACAGATGTCATTCAGCAAACTCCAGGCACCATGGCCCCCTTGTTTTCTTCCAGCTCTCCCAACATGCTCCTTTTCTCAGGCTTCCCAGCTCAGCTATGACAAGCTAACTACTCTGTTGCTTAGGTCAGGACTGCTCCACTTGGTAGGTGCAAATAATTCAGGAACCACATTCCTGCAGTCCTTTCTCCTTTGAGCTAAGCTCTCCCTCTGATGCCCAGTGCCCGTCACCTTCTCAGCCAAAGATCAAGACTCCAGATGCTCCAACACTCCAGGTGGGAGGCTAGTTTCAGGGCACAATGCACACACATCACCCTGGGCTGGCTTCCTCAGCCACCCCAATGCCCCACACCCTCAAAGCTCAAGAAAAGGGCTTCCCCAACCTGGGAGAGCAGAGGCTGACTGAGGACAGCCCACTTGACCCTTGAGGGGTTTCAGTCTAGTGGAGGAAAGGAAGGAAAAGAAATGAGGCTCAGTCAAAAAAGGCTTCCCCAAGGAGGGCAAGTGGCCAGGTAGCAGCTTCAGGAGGGTAGGATGGTGGGATGCTAAGCTAGAAGGGCATTGATTAAACAGCTAGAAGGGAAACATAATTTTAAAGAGGAAGGTCAGACAGACAGAAGGCAAGGCAAGCACTCATAGGCAGTGAGGCTGGGCAGTACCCGGCATGCAACAGGGCAGTGAGAAACCAAGAGCCAGGCAGCCAGTGAACGGAGAGTTGGAAATGGGGCCATGGCGTTCAGAGGCCTGGTGAGACCAGATCATCGGGTCTTACAGGCCATCCTGATGCCTTCGGCTGTCAAGTAGGGTGTCAGCAGAGGATTTCAAACAAAAAGGAGCATGGTGTTTCTGGAGACTGCAACCAGTACACGACCGGGACGAAGACTGAAGTGGGGAGGCAAGTTCTAAGGTTACTTCAGGAAAGGCTGCTGCTAATCCAGGAAAGAAACTCATGGTTAATGTCACCAGGACAAAATTAATAGAGTCAGTGAAAAGTGGCCAGATTCTAAAAACATTTAGAAAATAGCACCAAAATGATTCTGCCATTGAGTATGGGGTATGAGAATAGAGTCAACAGAGACTCTAAGGTTTGGGGCCTGAATAGGTAGGTGAGTAAAAATCACTTTCACTGGAAGAGAGAGGAAAAAGTCGCAAAGGAATAAAAGGAGCACATTGCCAGATAAACAGTTTCGAGTAAACAACATAAAAATTTTCAGTACAAGTGAGTCCCACGAGCTAGCTAAAATCCACATTTAACTGGGTGTCCTGATTTTTTTTTTTTTTTTTTTTTGGCCTGATTTTTAGTTTTGTTTTGCTTTGCTTCTAAGTACGACTACCTTAGTAAGTAAAGAGCTTACTTTGGGACATGATAACTTTGTGGCTCCTACTAAGCCTCCTCGGGGAAAGGTTGATTAACAATCTGGATACATAAAAATGAAGTTCAGAGAAACAGTCTGGGCGGGGGACAAGTACTTAAGAAGTGTCAGTCTGATCTTGACATCTCAAACCCTCACAGAGTGAGGACAGAGACGAGAAAAGACAGGGGCTGAGCCTAGACCCGGCCCCCAAAAACTTAGAAGTCAGGGAGATCTGGAGGACCCAGCAAAGGAGACCGAGTAAGAAAGTCTAGAAAGGAAGTAGAAAAGTCAAGAGAATGTGATGTCCCATAAAACAAATGAGCCAAGTGTTTCAAGGAAGGAGAAATCAACTTTATCCAATGCTGTTGAGAGTTCAGAGAAAGATGGGGATTGAAACTTGACCATGGGATTTAACCCTGGGGGCCTCCAGAAGAGCAATTTTGGTGTAAAGTGAGCAGCAAAAGCCTGATTAGAATAATTTTAAGAGAGTATTGAAAAGGGGGGGAAATGGAGATATAAATCACATCAACTCTTTTGAAGAACTTTTCTATAAAAGGATGAAAAGAAATGATGCTGGAAGGAAAAATAGGGTCAAGACAGGTGGGAGTTTTTTTGTTTTTTAGATGGAGAAATACCAGCAGCTGGGTGTGACAGTAGCCGGCCTGTAATCCCAGCACCCTGAGGCTGAGGCAGCAGGATTGCAAATTCAAGCCCAGCCTGAGCAATTTAGTGATTTAGAAAGTCTTTGTCTCAAAATAAATAAATAAAAAAGGACAGTGGATGTAGCCCAGTGCAAAGGTCCTGGATTCCATTCCCAGTACTAGGAAGAAAAAAGACTCAGGAAAGATCAAAAGGTTGATGATAAGGGGAGGGTGGAGGCACTGGTATCCTGGAAGAAAAACAACACTTAAACCCAGGTCTTGGGACTGACTTCCCTCCCGCTCCACAGCCTCAGGCATGCTTGGCAGGGCTCAGAATTCCCCATCCGCCTGCAGGACCTCCTGCTTGGTGGCTTCCATCCGGATGAGGGGGTCTTCAGGCCCCTGCTGCAGACACACAGGCACAAGACCTACTCCAGCCCAAGAGGGGTTGGCAAGGACCAGTCCAGGAAGGCCCTGCTGGAGGGTTGTGCAGAGATCGAGACAGAGGAGGTGGCCCCGGGAGCAAGACCAGCTCAGGCCTGAGCAAAAGAGGTTCATTGGCTTCGGGCCTGCCACCCCCAGATGGCAGGTGCAGGGCCTGCGGGTAATGGGGGTGGCAGAGGAAACTGCCAAGCCCTGGCACAGCACAGCCTTGCCCAGAGGCAGAGGGGTGGCCTAGATGGCCTCCCACCTAGTCTCCACTCTAGGAGCACAAATGTTAGGTGGGGCAGCAAGGTCCCCTGAACCTTGTAAGAATGGAGAACTCTCCCACCTCACTCCCAAGAGAGCCAAGGCCAGTTGCTGGAGGGTACAGCATCTTGCCTGATGCCAGGAAGAAGGGGCAGCCTCTGGTAGGGCCAGAAAGACAGGGCCCATGAGATAAAATGACCTGGTCACTAGAGCAGAGTAATACAGTCACCACCACACATATGACCACATATTCCACCCACAACCTCCAAACCACACCAGCACCCCCACAATCATGCACGTTCACAACCACACACACCAAAGCATCTGTTATACATGCTATTCGCTACCACTGAAACACAACTGCCCAGCCACACACACAGTGTTCACATACAGTCCTCCATGCACCCAGCATCTATTTTATAATTAGTAACGGAGTGTCTGCTACACCTCCGGCCAGGAGATGAAGCATGAGAAGGGGAGGCCTGAACAAGGGGGAACCTGCAGAAGGGCCAGCACAGGACCATCAAGGAAGAGGGAACAGCAAGTGCAAAGACCAGAAAGCAACTACGAATGGGAAAGTAGTGATCAAAGGCCTGGACGCAGGATAGGAAGTGAGGCAGAATCGGGGTCATAAGTTCCCTAACTTTGGGGGACATTTCTGAAATTTAAAAAGGGTGCTGTTACACGCACAAACTGGTTCAGGCCCGGGCAAACATGATATACAGTCACCATGGTGCTGGCGATGTAAGTCACCACCACCCAGACAGGGAGGACTGTGGTCTGCCTGTGACTAAGTAAGACTCAGTGATTCCCAGGGAGGCCAGAAGCCATGAAGTTTCTAGTCGTGGCACAGGCTAAATAAGACAAAGCGTCCTTGTCCCAAGAGCCCAGCCCAGGTCCTCCCTAACCACAGGCGCTTCTACACCCCCCACCCAAAGGGTCTCTACGGCAAAGCACAGCCCCCCATCCCAACGCCACACAGCCCTGGGCAGGCTCTGTCCCTTGAAGCAGCTCCAGGTTCGACTCCCCTATCCTGCCCTCAGGCCTGCACGTTGGTCCAGGCACAGGTCTGCTGAGGCCGTTCCGCTGTGGGCAGTCTGCCCCCACCCTGGCTCCCCAAAGGGCCCTCCCTCCAGGCTGTCGAGGATCCCTCGCGTTGGGGAGCAGAGGGACAGGCTCCCAGGAACGTGCCCGTGCAGGGTCAAGGCCCTGCACCAGGCGGGGATCAGGGCAGGCAGGGCGCGGACCCAGTATCCGAGGTAACCAATGTGGGCGAGTCCTGATTGCAGTCCATCCCTCGGCCACGGCATTAAACAGTTTGCAGAGCGCCTCCCGCCTGTAATTTCATCGGAAACTTTAGTACAGCCTTGCCCATGGCCGCTGCTGCTCCCATTCCACACCTAAGCAAGCCGAGGCTGGGACGCGCCAGGATCCCCTCGGGAGCCCGCCCCGGGGCCACGTGGCGGCACCGGGATTAGAACTCCGACTCTCCTAAACCCAGGCTCCTCCCTCCCTCCCTCCCCTTTTCTTCTCCCCGCCACACCGCCCCCGGGTGCTCGTCCGCCTCGCGCTGCGCCTGGCCGGGGTGCAGAGCTGGGCTCGGGTCTTCCTCGCCTCTGTTGGGAACCTGGGACCCCTGGGTTGCCACGCCGCAGACGGTAAGTGCGCGGGAGGGGCAGCCCCCTGCGGTGGGGCCGGGTTGGGGAGCGGAGGGTCCCTAGCCCCAACGCCCGGACCCACCTCTGCCTGCTCGCCCCCGAGGGCTGGAATTCCAGCTGCTGAGAGGTGCCGGGACCTCCACTTGCTCCCACGTGGCCTAGAACGGAGGGAACCCGGGGCGGGGGGGGGGGGGGTCTGTCTTTTGCGGGCACTGTGGAGGCGAGGAGCAGACGCCCGGCGCGGTCAGGTAGGTCCAGGGTCTGGTAGAAAACGGTTGTGCTGGGAGCTGGCTTTGGGGGGCAGCAGGGGGGTCGGAACTGGCTCCACCGGTCCGCGGTACGGCTGTGGGAGGACATTCTTGGCCTGTGAGTCTTGTCCCTGGGGTGTGTCAGCGGCGGTGGACTGGAAGGGGAACAGTGGGAGCTCTGGAGGTGGCTGCACCCTTCCAAGCACCACAAGGCATCCTAGGAAGCAGCTGTAGGCCCTCTCCCCGCAGGGCCGCCTGGAACCTTCTCAGGTGAGTGGCAGACAGGGGAGAGAAGTCTCAGGATTCTTACGCCAGCGGAGAAAGCAAGAATGCTTCTGCATTAGAGATAAGGACACTGGGTCAGGCCCAGCAGCCTCGCCCAGCTAGAAGTGCTAAAGCTGAGATTTGTAGCAAGGTGTGACTTGATGTCCAGTGTAACCACAGCCCTCTGCCGAGGCCAGAGCTTAGCGGGAGAAGACTGGGCGGAGAGGAAAGTCTCCAGGGAAGAGCCCTTCCCACCCACACTGTCCTGTCGCAGACTGATTCCCAAAGGACAGGCGCCAGGAGGGCTTAGACACTGAGAAGGCATTGTACACACTCTCTCTCCCGCCCAGACTGTCCAGCCCTCCCAGCGTCTCTCAGAACTCAGTGCTCCCCCTGCCATTCAGCATTTACTGAGTATGCGCAGAGAAATAGGAAGCAGTGAGCAAAGGGGAACAGACATTCTACTTGGGGAGACAGACAATAAGTGAGACCCCAAAATGACAATTTCATTTCAAGAGGTGATTAAGCATTATGAAGGGGGAAAAGGAGACAAGAGCAGTGACTGGGGGCATGTTCAGATCTGAGATAACTGGGGAAGCCCCTAACACTGTGATGCTCCAGCAGAGGCCTTGATAAAGAGAAGAGGTCAGGCATGTGAGCTTCTGCAGGCGAGCATCCCAGCAGGAGCAAAGCCCCGAGGCCCCCAGTGTGACCAGAGCAGAGAGAAGCTGAGTATGACAGACAGGAAAAGGCTATGGAATCTGGGGTTGAGTCTAAGCAGTGTAGTGGAGAGTCCTAAGTAAGGGAGTGGCACAATCGTGGTTCAGAGGTGAGAGTGACAGTGGCTTGGACCAAGGGGGAGTCCTGAAGGTATCACCAATACCTGGAGGTACAAGCAAGGGGAGAGGTGTGTGCCCTCACAGCTGTGCCAGCCAGCACACCCATGTGAAGTACATCAGCACACCCGCCCATCCACACCCTCTGAGTCACTGCAGGGCTAAAAGACGTGATTCGAGGGCCTGGCCAAAGCATGTCCCCCCACCAAAGTGGCTGGGACTCCCCCCAGCCTGCACAGGAAAGGGGAATTGTCTCTACACAGACCCTGGATCTGGTGTCCTCCCAGCAGCAAGGCCACAACCCCTCTGCCCCCCCCCCCCCATCAGCCTCCCATCTTCACCACCCGCTGGCTGAGAGACCTTCACAGGATACTGTTGAGGCATCCACAATGGAATGGTTTCGAGAAGCTAGTCTGGAGCAGGTGTCCAGCGGAGGAAGGGAGGTGTGGGGGGCATGGCCTGACACGACAGCCTGGCCTTGAACCTAACTGTCCCCTCAAGTTAGTGACTTGAGCTCCCTGACTTCACAGTAACGAGTAGTCAACACTTACTGAGCACTTACTTTTTAGTCTTTATGTCATTTGATTATCAGCTTCTTCATCTGTAAATGGGGAGCAGAGTGGTCTCCACTTCCTGGGATTATTATAAAGGATTAAATGAGATCTTGCACATATAGGTTGCTCATGGCTCAAGCTTCATAAGTGGTCCTCATTATTAGAAGCACATGCCCCCTTCCTCCCAGCATATTAGCACTGTAACTTTGGGTAGGTTGCATATTCTCCCTGTACCTTGGTTTCCTATCTACAGCTTGGAAAGAGCAATAGTTTCAATCTCATAAGGTTGTAATGATGATTGAACAGATCTATCCACGTAAAGAACTGGGGACAGCATCTGGCACATGCTAAATGTTCCATAAACATCACCCATTCATTAATAGAATGGTTTTCTGTCTTGCTCCCTCAGGTAGGCACGGTCCCTGGTGCCCTCGCCAGGCACCATGGACTGGAAGACATTCCAAGCCCTTCTGAGTGGCGTGAACAAGTATTCTACAGCTTTTGGGCGCATCTGGCTGTCAGTGGTGTTTGTCTTCCGGGTTCTGGTGTACGTGGTGGCCGCAGAGCGCGTGTGGGGTGATGAGCAAAAGGACTTCGACTGCAACACCAAGCAGCCTGGCTGCACCAATGTCTGCTACGACCACTTCTTCCCCATCTCCAACATCCGTCTCTGGGCCCTGCAGCTCATCTTTGTTACGTGCCCCTCACTACTGGTTATTTTGCATGTGGCCTACCGCGAGGAGCGGGAGCGGCGACACCGCCAGAAGTATGGGGACCAGTGCACCAAGCTGTACAGCAACACAGGCAAGAAGCACGGCGGCCTGTGGTGGACCTACCTGTTCAGCCTCGTCTTCAAGCTCATCATCGAATTGCTCTTCCTTTACGTGCTGCACACGCTCTGGCATGGCTTTGGCATGCCACGCCTGGTGCAGTGTGCCAGTGTGGCACCCTGCCCCAACACCGTGGACTGCTACATCGCACGGCCCACTGAAAAGAAGGTCTTCACCTACTTCATGGTGGGCGCCTCTGCAGTCTGCATCGTGCTCACCATCTGCGAGATCTGCTATCTCATCTCCCACAGGATCATGCGAGGCCTGGGCAAGGACAAGCTTTCAAGGGGTCACAGCGCCTCATCCTCCACCTGCCGCTGCCACCACAAGCTAGTGGAAGCCGCAGAGCTGGGTCCCGACCTAAGCGATGCCAAGGTGCAGGCTTCAGCCCCCAAGCTGACCCCTATCTGACCAAGGCTGGGGAACAAGACGGAGAGGAGTTGTAGATTAGAGGGCCCGTAGGGGTGCTGGGTGCCTTCACTCTGAATTCACCAAGCTGTCCAGTTTCATTTGTGCAGGCAGATGTCTTCGGATGCTGATTTCTGTGCTCTCTATCTGGGTAGAGATAACATGAAGGCAGGGAGACACATTTAAACAAGTAAAGTAACTGTAAGGGCCGGGGATTTAGCTCAGTGGTTTCGCTGCCTGCTGAGCAAGCGCGAGGACCCGAGTTTCATCCCCGGTACCAAAAAAAAAAAAAAAAATGACAAGTAAAGTAACTGTATGCATGCAGGGGTTTGGTTGGCTGTTCCTGAGGGCCTTCTCCTTAACCACAGGGGATGATCAGGCCAGGCTCCCCTGAGGAAACAGTGCTTGAAAGATAAGAAGTGCTCAGGGGCAGAGAGCAGCAGGCAGGGGGCCTGGGACTGGAAAAGACACACGCTTGCTCTGGCCTAGAAGCCCTGGACCAAAGGGAACCTGTACTCCCTGGGAGAGGCTGCCCAGAGTCCCCAAGTGGAAGGTCTTCAACACCGGGAAATCTGGAGGCCTCAGAGTGTGGAGAGAGGCAGCAGCTCTGGGGACCCAAGCCCTGCTCAAGACACCCGGGGATCCTCTGGGTCACAACTTCCCTCAGTGGCAGCTTCCCTCCGCGAGACGCTCTCCCCCAACCTCAGGCAGTGGTGCTTCAATCTTCCTCCCATCTAAGAGCTTCTGTTGCAAGAACTTGGGTGGATGTGCCCATTGAACAACCCCAAGGCAGTTTCCTTGAAATCAATAAAGCTGTGTTTTATAGAGGGCTGGCTCTGTGTTCAGTTCTCCTACACTCCTACCCACGGCTCCCTCAGGGCAGTGAAAGCAGCCCCCAGAATGGGAGGAGCCCTAGCTGGGGCTGACGCTTGACTGAGGCTAGGGCTAGGACTGCGGGCTAGAGAATCTGCCCATACACATGCTGGGATTCCAGTTGTGGCCACAAGAGTGCGCTGCGTCACTCTGAAACAACTTGCAGCGTTTTAAATTGAACTCTGCCCTGAGTACACAATCACTGTCATTCTCATTGCAGACTACATTGCCTCCTTTGTCACTCAATCACTGCTATCACAAACCACACCCCTGCCCTATGTGCACACAGTCTCTACTGTTCATACTCTCACTATACTCAACAGGCCGTGCGGCCTGCTTTAACAAGCACGTGCAGTCTCAGACTCAGCCAGCAGTTACTTCTGCACATTTCATTTCCTTCGAGCATTTTCCCCACCCCAGACCCTTGGAAGAAAGCTGAGACTGAGCCCAGGGTGTGCAGAAGATAGAAACACCAACTCATTTCTTGCACTAGCCCCACTCCCAAGACAGTCAAGACCTGAAATTCCAGGGACACCAACATCTCAGACCAGACCAGAATGAGAAGCCAAAGGGGACTCAAGGTTAGATTAGCTCAGAGGAACATTTAGTGACCATCATAGACCAGGCCAGGCACCAGAAAGTCAGGAGCCAATAAGCTGAGGGACCAAGCAAGGAGAGGTCAGGGGACTGTGTAACAGAGCATAGGGCACTGTGTAGACAGGTTGCGGTTCACCTTTGCTCTCACCTGTGGCTATTAGGGGGAGGATGAGCCAAGAAAGTTAAAGGGCCCCAGGCAGTGCTGACATTGTTCCCCACGCCTCCCCCCCAAGTTGGAATCCTCGCTTGACCTCCCCACAAGCACAACTCCCTCCACCAGGTTACACCTTGGACAAGCTTTCGGGACCTCAGTCATGTCATCCACATACTAGGAACTATATCAGGCAGGGTTCTAGAAGAAAATAGTAATTTAAAAGAGCATTTCCTAGAGAAACTGATTTCAAAGGTGTGGGCCTGATTGAGGAAACCCACAAGGGGTGCTGCAGTGCCCTGGGGCTAGTGCCAAGGTAACTGTGGTGGATTAAGTAATGGTTAACTTGGCCTGCCCAGCTGAACTGAATCAGCATGGTCTGGGCGTGGAAGACCCACCTGATGATTATTGTCGGTGGTGTAAAAAGAGAACTGGAGGGGAAGATTGTAGGCTATGGATTTTCTAGGAGAAGCTTACTACGGCTGGTTTTCCTGATGCCAACTTGGCTGTTCCGGATGGAGGAGAAGCTCAGGTCTTCCCTGTCGCTGTGAATAGCTGCTGTTCTTTTTGGTGTAGCTCTGATCTTCACCGTGAGCATCACTTCCTGGCTTCAGTATAGATCTCTCAGCCTGGGGGCACAAATCCTTCACCCCAGGGCGGCGCACTGGTGCAGGCTTTCTGGCTTCCACCACTGGCCTTTGGATCTTCCCAGTGTAGATCCTCCATACAGACAAACATGAGATACTTCCATGGGCTCTGGGCCACTGGCTGGACTTGTGGAGGACATTGCTGTGGGTTTTTAGGACATTTCTATAGGTTTTTAGGCCTTCAGCTGGACTTGTATGGGGCATCGCTGTGGGATCCAGGCCCTTGGTTGTATTCTTTGGGTCTCTAGTGTGCGGTTAGATCTCTTGTACTCTTCTGCATTTGACTTTTTGGGTGACTATTATAAAATAATCCTATACATTATGTGTCCTGTATTAAATCTATTCCCTTGCAAACCCTGACTACAACAGTAACAATGGGTGGGAGCTATAGGACGGGATGCATGCCATCACAGCAACAAAATTATCCACCAACTGTACTCTCCCCTCTCCTGCTCATCTGCAAGTGGCTCCTACAGACTGAACACAGCCAGAGATCAGAGGGCAAGGAAGCCTGCTGGAGGTCAGCATCGCAGGTCACCACACAGGGTGGAACAGGGTGGAGAATAACTCTGAGGAGCAGAAGAATTATAATCAGCAAAGCACTTAGGACAGTTTGTACTCATAGAGCTGTTGTAGAGATCAGAGGAGACACTGGTAAAACAGTGGCACTGTGCCAGTGTATCCAATAAACTCCAGGTCTGAGTGTGCTTAGGAAAGTCTCTGATGATGCTCTGGCTGCATCATAGATCAGCCTGGGATTGGGCTGGATGGTTACAAAGGTCTTAGGGAAGACCTAAGACAAAGGTCCATCTACTTTCAGCTGTGCGTTCCAATATTTCCTGGGTGGCTCCAGCTGCCTGCAAAAGTGACCCGGCTGTCAGAGCAACCAGAAAACATCCTCAGCTACACCAGCAGGGACTGAAGGCTCAACACAGACTGAGCTTCCAGTCTTGGCCACATTCCTCAGGATGCAGGCCAAGACCATGGAGGGAGGGCCATTCCAGCCCGAGGCATCCTGCTTTTGGTCTAAGAACTGATTTGAGCAATGCAGCTCCCTGATCTCATACAGCATGAGTTGGGCTGCTGTGTACCACCAAGTTCCCAGCAGGTATCACTGTCACCACAGGATGGCCCTCACATTCCCTCGGCCTTCTTGTGCCTCTGCCTTCTTGTTCCCTGCTGCGTGAGGAGCCACTGCAAGCCTCCTTCAATCTTCCTATGACAGATGGAGATTTCATGTACTGGCTTCAAGTCCACATCGCTGGCAAATCGTCACAGCTGCCCTGAAGCTCCAGGTAAACGGGATCATTTTATCTTCATTCTCCCTGTTCCAAATCCCTGCATGGACTGAGTTTGTGTCCTCTAAAAATCCATATGTTGAGATCCAACCCCCCCCACACACATACCCGCGTGATGGTATTAGGTGGTGGGGCCTTCAGGAGATAATCAGGTCTTGAGGGTTTTGGGGAGTCACTACTGCAGATGAAAAAGGTGGGCAGGACTGAGCATCAAGACGAGCTACAGGTAGCACTGAAGCAAAGACTGGCCATGAGGGGAGTTCTGCGGGACCCTCATCCACCCCTTGGCTCAATCATTGCCCAGGGTCACAGAAGAGCTTGGCCACCTGGGACACCAGAAGCAGACATGAAAGTGCTAATAGGTGGACACCGCCCGCTGACCAGACTCTGCACGGCTGGGGGTGAGCCCTGCATTGAAGGGGGAAGTCTGCATTTGCCACCCACCCTCATAATCTGTTCCCAGCGCAGCATCCAGAGGGATCCTGCCAAAATCTAAATTAGTCCATTTCACTTCCTGCCCAGAACCCCAAAAGCACCTTATGCCAGCCTCCATGGCCTGCAAGATCTACCCCAACCCACACCTGACTGTCACTCTTCTGAGCTCCCTTCTTGGCCCTGGCCAAGGTGTCTCCTACCCTGGCCATGCTGACTTCCTTGTGTTCCTTAAGCAGGAAACCCCAGGCACATTCCTGCCTCAGGACCTTTGCAGACCAGGCTCCTCTCACCTGGATGCACTGGCCCCCAGATAGCCACAGGGCCCCTCCCCTTCCCCTCAGGCTCGCCTCAACTTCAGCTGCTTAGTGAGAATTTCTCTTCTCTTCTACCTAAAATTGAAACTGGCCAGCACTGTACTCTGAATTCTCCCTACTTTGTCTCATAGCACATATCACTGATATGCCCTGCATTTTATTTTTCGTCTTTTTTTGTGTGTCTGTGTGACAGTACTAGGGAATCAAACCCAGAGATTCTCTACCACTACCATTAAACCACATCCCTGGCTCTTTTTTTTTTTTTTCCACTTTGAGACAGGGTCTTGCTAAATTGAGCTTGAATGGAAATCCTCTTGCCTCAGCCACCTGAGTAAGTGGAATTACAGGCATGCACCCCTGCAAGCAACATTTTTTTTAACCACAATTAAAAATTTGAAAACAGCCAAAACAACAGTGCACCACAAGGCAGTAGCTGAGCCATATGAGGCACAGAGTTGCAGTGGCCAGTGAGGCCAGCAGGGCAATCCTAGAAGAAAAGAAAATGAGGGCCAGGGATTTAGCTCAGTGGTTCTGCCGCCTGCCTTGCAAGTACAAGGACCTGAGTTCGATCCCTGGTACCAAAAAAAAAAAAGAAAAAGAAAAAGAAAATGACATCTGTGAAAATACCTGAAAGGTTCTCAGGGGCCCACATGTGAGGGTGCTTCAGGCAGAGGAAGCAGCCGGGACAAAGGCAAGAGCACACAGAAACCCAGGAATAGTTAGGTAAAGCTGATGACAGAGCAGGAGGGGAATGAGGCCAGAAGCAGCCAAGGCCTTCAGGCTGGAAAGCCTAGGCCCTACCCTCATGGCAATGCGGAACCACAGAAGGGTCAGACGAGGCAATGTTATACGCAGGTTTCTAGGAAAGTGTAGAGGCTGAGTGGAGGGGTGAAGCTAGAGGCTGCTGAGGTGGCTGTGGTCTGAATGAGACAAAGGGAAAAGAGCAAAGTGTGATGTTCTAGGGACATTTCCCCACAGAATGGCCAAGTTGCAGGGATTATAGCCTTGGCTGATGCCAGCTCCTTTCTCCTCCAGCGAAGGGAATAGGTTGGTAAAACCCAGACCTCCAGTGTCACCGAGGAAGGAGTCAGAGCCCAGAGAAGCCAGCCTTGACGTCACCCCTTGCCCTCCACCAGGAGATTGGATGGGAAAGGCTCTGGGGGAGCAAAGGCTGTGGTGGAGGCGTGGTGAGAGCTGGTCTCCAGGGGCCTCAGTTCCCATGCCCTTCAGGGTCAGAACTAAGTGGGCGAAGCTGTCTACTCTGGAATCCCAGGAGGGCCAGCTCAAACTGGAGGGCCAGCTCAAACAGGCCCTGAGGGAAAGGAAAGCCAGCTCAGCCTGACTCCGCCATGGACAATATCCTGAAGTTTGGAGCCCACATGTTATCCCAACAGGCAGAACCCGCAGAGGTTTAGCTCAGTCCAAGGACTGAATCCTGTTATGGAAAAACAGAGTTGATAGCCCCAGGTCAGTTTTCACCTGCTACCTTTTCTTTCCTCAGCTTCCCCAGACTCAAACCAACCCTCTGCCCTGAGCTGTCTTGTTTTTCCTTGTCCTTCTGAGACCAATCCACGGACCCTTTTCAGTACAAACATTTTGTTGGTGACTTTAGCCATGCACCTTTCTATACTGATATCACACTATGTTTGATTGGATCTCTCATCATTCCTTTAATGCAGCTATTATTGTACTCATCCTGTAGAGGAAGAATTGAGGCACCTGGGTTTGAGAAACTTGCCAAAGGACACAGGCATCAACAGCATCCAAAGCTTCTAGGCTCCGCTTCCACTCAAGCCTCAGCATGCTTGGGCAGTGTTGCCATCTCAAGACCCCCAGGGGCCTAGACTCATGCTGCCCCTGCCAGGAGTGCTCCCTCCTTTGTCTGGCTAATAGTTTCCTCTAAGAAAAGTTCCTAACCAAGCCCCATGGCTCACCTTGTGCTCCAGGGGAAAACTGAACCTAGTGCTTTCCCATTACCCAAGGGCCGATCTCCTGGAGCCAGGACCGAGTCTGGCTGGGTGTGGTGGTATCCCCAGCTACTCACTCAATCCTCCTCATCAATCTCATTAATGACCATCTACACAGCAAGTCCCTAATGAAGGCTTATCTTCTGCCTGTTCTTCTGATTTCCTTTGGTGTCTAAGTTACTTTTCTCTCCTTGCTGAGACAAAATACCCAACACTCAAAGTTAAAGGGGGGAAGGTTTATTTAGCTCACAGTTTGTAGAGGTTTCAGTCCATAATCAGCTGGCTCCAAGGCAGAGTGGCACATAGCAGAGAAGCATCACAGAGGAGAAACAGTTCATTGCATGCAGAAGATAGCAAAAGCAACAAGGGGCCTTAACAGCTTCTTTCTGCCCCCTTTGTCTTACCCAGACTACTTAGGGCAGGCAGCACTCACACCCTTAATCCTAGTGCTTTAGAGCCTAGCACTGCACCATGAATCATCCCAGTGCACACACTCTGGATCCAGCCACCTCTGAGAAAGCCCCACCTATGACCTCATGAGGCTTTGGGGGACATCTAGACACAAGCATAACAATCTTCTCCTGCCCCCCCCCCCGCCAAAGACTCCTGCCCATCCCTTTATAGAAAAGGCATTTAGTGCATCTCCAAAAGTTGCCAAAGTCCTAACAGTTTCAGCACTGCTGAAAAGTCCAAGTCCAAATCCTCCTCTGAGATGTAAGGCACATTCTTAGCTGCAAGGCCCTGCACAAATGAAAAGAAAGTGAAACACTTCCAACATTCAAGGGCACAAGATAGACAGTTCCATTCCAAAAGTTATGAACAGGGGGATACAAAAGATTGGGACCAAAGCAAGTCCAAAATCTAGCAGAGCAAATATTAAATCCCACAGTTCCACTTCCAGCCTCCCTGGCAATGTGTGGCAAGCTGTCAATTCCAAAGGACTTGGGTGGCTCCATCCCTAGGTCACTGCCAAAGATTGTAGCTCCTATGGCATCTCTTTGGCAGGCTTTGCTCCCTCCTTGCAGTTTTCCTCATAGGATCCATGCTCCTGGCTTCTCCAAACTTCTGGGGTCTCCATTGCAACTTCGGCTTCACACACTACCCTCTCAGGGGTCCTCTGCCTGGCCTCCCAGGCCTTCTTCTGAAATTTGGGTGGAAGCCTTCCTGACCCCAAAACTCTTGCGTTCTGCATGCATTTAAAACCAGCACTGCATATATGATGCCAAGGTCTGCTGCCAGCTGGAGCAGTAGCCAGGCCTCCTTCTCTCTTGGCTGTAGGAGTCCAGTACCTATGAACCAAATCCTGAGCAACACATTCTCTAGGCCACTGCCATTCTGGAAAATGGTGCTCTGGTGCTTTCTTCTCAAAGCAGTCTTTTACTCTTGCAATTTTGAGGCTGCAAAGGGTGGAGTCCCACTGCTTCTTGTGATGCCCTCAGGTCATCTTTTCTATTCTCCTGTTTCTTCTCACCAGTCAAGATCTCCTCTGCTCTCCTTTGCATTCCACAGCTTTACTGGAGCTTTCCATTCTGGCCAAAATCAAAACATTTTAAATCATTCTGGTGGGCTCTTTGCTCTTGATTTTCTTTTTCTTTTTCTTTTTTTTTTTTTTTTTGGTCCCGGGGATCGAACTCAGGTTCTTACGCTTGCAAGGCAGGTGGCGGAACCACTAAGCTAAATCCCTGGCCCCTGCTCTTGATTTTCAATATAGATCTGGCTAAAAGCCCCCAACAGCAGTCATGCCACTGCCTGAACATTAGGCTGCCTTGAAATTTCTTCTGCAAGATTAATTAGTCCACTGCCCTTAATCTTGGTCTCAGGTAAAGTCTCTGGACACGAACAAAATGCAGACAAACTTTCTACCAAGGCATAACACACCATCTGGAGTCCAAGTGCCAATCCAGTCCTTCTTCCCAGCAGAAACCTCCTGAGCCTGTTCTTTACCAGCAATTTTTTAAATCAGCATTCTGCTTTGTTTTTGTGTTGGTACTGGGGAACGAAGAACTCAGGACCTTTTGCTTGCAAAGCAGGCACGTGAACCACAGATCTAAATCCCTGGCCCTTAAAATCAGCATTCTGAGTCCTGACAGAATCTCCCATCAAGTACACCCTAAGGAATTCCAACTCTACTTTTTCAGGTGGCATCTCCAAACCTTTCCTAACTCTCCCCCTTGCCACAAGCCAGTTCCAAAGGCTCTTGAGCCACATGGCCAAGTAATGTCACAGCAATGACCCCACTCTCAGTACCAGTTCTGTCTTAGTTACTTTTCTCTCCTTGCTGAGCTAAAATACCTGACATCCAGATTTAAAGGGGGAAGGTTAGGGCTGGGGATTTAGCTCAGTGGTTCTGCCACCTGCCTCGCAAGCACAAGGTTCTCAGTTCAATCCCCGGTACCCAAAAAATAAAAATAAAGGGGGAAGGTTTATTTAGCTTTATTTAGTTTGTAGAGGTTTCAGTCCATAATCAGCTGGCTCCAAGGCAGAGTGGCACATAGCAGAGAGGCATCAAAGAGGAGAAACAGTCTCATTGCACCCAGAAGACAGCAAAAGCAACAAGGGGCCTTAACAGCTTCTTTCTGGCCCCTTTGTCTTACCCAGACTACTTAGGGCAGGCAGCACTCACACCCTTAATCCTAGTGCTTTAGAGCCTAGCACTGCACCATGAATCAATCCCAGTGCCACACACTCTGGATCCAGCCACCTCTGAAAAAGCCCCACCTATGACCAGGTGAGGCTTTTGGGGGACATCTAAACACAAGCCAAAACAGTGTCTCCTCCCATTTAGAGACACAAGAATGAGAGCCAAGCCAAAGGTCAAGAGTTCCCCTTCCCAGGCCAGGGATTTAGCTCAGTGGTTCTGGTGCCTGCCTTGCAAGCTCAAGGTCCAGAGTTCCATCCCCACTATCAAAAAAAAAAAAGTTCCCCCTCCCCATACTCAAGAAATCTCAGATAATCGTTTGTCGACCTCTGCCTGCACAGCCTGTCCAGGCACAGAGATGGTTGAGAGTTCTGGAAGATCACTGGCCAGGTGGAGACCCTAGCTCCACCATCCGCGCTACAAAATGTAATCCTCTCTCCCAGTATGGGCTCCCAGGGGCCTCCGTTCCCATGTCCTTCATGGTCAGAACTAAGTGGGTACAGTTGTCTACTCTGGAATTCCAGGAAGCCCAGCTCAGCCTGGCCCTGAGGGAAAGGAAAGCCAGCTCTGCCTGTCCTGGGGCACCACCACCATCTTGTCCCATCCACTCACCCCTCACAGCCCCTCAGGCCAGTAGCTGATACCCGCTGGCTTTACTATAACCCTTTCATTTCTAGCCACCCTGAAAGATCCTGCCCTTGAAGAACTCCCTTTCCGTTGCCAAGAAGCTGAGGCAGGAGTTTCCCGTCTGGAATAAGGATGGAGAGAGAGCAAGGGAAGGGACACCTCAGCGCGCCAGGGCCCCCACCTCACAGTGACACCTCCGGGAGTGGGCTCAGGGAATCTGCACCTCCCAGTCCCCGCCCTCGCCTCTCTCCAGCGCCCGCCTCCTCCCCGTGGCGTTTCCTGCCCCATCCCGCCCTTCTGCTATTTAAGGCGCCCCCCGCCACGCCTGGCGTAGTCCAGCAGGGCTCCGGCGGGCGCCGCTGCGCCTTCGTCCCCTGCTTCTACCTGGGCGGGCCAGGCAGGCAGGCGGTGAGTCAGGGTGGAGGGAGGGTGGTTGCTGAGGGCTGCTGCGCAAGGGTAGAAGAGCCACATGGGCAGGGCAGTGTAGTTCCCTTTCCTTCGTTCATCTTTACAGGAGGGGAGGCAGAGGGCGCAGAGGTTGTTACATGTGTCAGTTCCCAGTTAGAGGGAGCTAGGATTTGAACCCAGGTCCGGTTCTGAACCCAGGCTCTGACAACTTTGCTCCCAGGAAAAAGCATTGTCCCTCTCCTCTCACCCAGCCTTTCTTTCCCCTAATGACCTGGGAACTTTGTTGCCTGTGCCTCCACCCTGCAATGACAATTTCTTCCAAGAGTCTAGATTTTGGTAGCAACTGCTGTGGAGCTGGGGGGAGGGAGAGGCCAGGACCAAGTGCCCCTTCTTACATGGCAGGTGTGGCTCATGAGGATGCTGTCTTCAACTTCTCAAGTTCTCCCCCTACCCCCTGCCTCCATGGCAATCAGCAAGCCCAAGATTAGAGTGAGGCCACCTGGGGCAGATAGGGTGAGAACAGAGACCTGAGGCTTTGAGCCCCCTGAGAACCTGAAGATCACACCTCGACTACCCCCTTACCTGGGAGTAGCCAGCCTTGGGCAGAAGGGAGGCCATGCACAGCTGCGTGACTAGGTTAGTTCCTTGAGTTCTCTGTTCCCATAGGCAAAGGAGCCTCCACTCAATCCAGATTTCCTTGGGCTGCAGCCATCCTGGGGCTCAGGGTGGGGACAAGAGTGTACTAGTCCGTGATTAGACAGGGAGCCTAGCTGCCCTATAGCCTGCCATTTAGAGTACAGTGAGGGCACACAGCTTAGCAGGCATCAGGCAAAGCTGCTTTGGGTCCTGCCTCCCTGCAGAGCCTGAGTCTCCTTGAAGGGAGAATAGGCATGGTAGACACCCCAACAGCCCCACCCCACCCCAGCGTGTCCTGCTGACCTAACTCTTGTCTCCCTGCAGAGGACCGGGAGCTATGGGTGACTGGGGCTTCCTCGAGAAGCTGCTGGACCAGGTCCAGGAGCACTCGACCGTGGTGGGTAAGATCTGGCTGACAGTGCTCTTCATCTTCCGCATCCTCATCCTGGGCCTGGCGGGCGAGTCGGTGTGGGGCGACGAGCGGTCAGATTTTGAGTGTAATACGGCCCAGCCCGGCTGTTCCAATGTCTGCTATGATCAGGCTTTCCCCATCTCCCACATCCGCTACTGGGTGCTGCAGTTCCTCTTCGTCAGCACTCCCACCCTGATCTACCTGGGCCACGTCATTTACCTGTCCCGGCGAGAGGAGCGATTGAGGCAGAAGGAGGAAGAGCTGCGGGCCCTGCCAGCTGAAGACCCACAGGTGGAGCAAGCACTGGCGGCTGTAGAACGTCAGATAGCCAAGATCTCCGTGGCAGAGGACGGTCGAGTGCAGATCCGCGGTGCTTTGATGGGCACCTATGTGGTCAGTGTGCTGTGTAAGAGCATGCTAGAGGCCGGCTTCCTCTATGGCCAATGGCACCTCTATGGCTGGACCATGGAGCCGTTGTTTGTGTGCCAGCGTTCACCCTGCCCCCATTCTGTGGACTGCTTTGTCTCCCGGCCTACAGAGAAAACCATCTTCATCATCTTCATGCTGGTGGTTGGACTCATCTCCCTGGTACTCAACCTGCTGGAGCTGATGTACCTGCTGTGCCGCTGCTTTGGTCAGGGAATGAAGGCACAGCAGGGCCAGGTTGCACGCCCAGCCCGGGGCATGTCCTCAGACTCTTACCCTGACCAGGGCTGCTTCTACCTCCCTATGGGCAAGGTGCCCTCGTCGCCACCATGCCCCACCTGCAATGGATTCTCATCTACTGAGCAGAACTGGGCCAACTTGACCACAGAGGAGAGGCTGCCTTCTTCCAGGCCCCCCCCATTCCTGGACCCACCCCCACAGAGTAGCCAGAAATCTCCCAGTCGCCCCAGTTCCTGTGCTTCCAAGAAGCAGTATGTGTAGGGGCTTTGGGCTTGTCACTTAGCAGAGGTGTCCTGAGAAGTTGTCAGGCTGCCCCCTCCTGGAAGACTCTGTAGAGGCAACTGGACCAAGGAAGTAGGTGCTCGCTGGCCAAAGGGCCTCCTGGCAGGTGGCTCTGGAACACTAGGGGCTTTCTGGGGACCAGCGGGCACTACGGCTTCCTCTCCAGACAGGGCCCGCTCAGGGTACTCCTGACCAAGGTGTTGCAGGACCATTTCCACCTGATCCTGAGGGATCCCAAGCCAGCTTACCCCCACCATTGTGGAAGAATTAGCAGAGTCGGTGCCAGATCCATCTCTGTCCAGAGGACTGGTGCCTTGTTTTCATCACCTTCCTAGTTCCATTGTTTATACTTCTAAAATAAACAGGACTTGATCACAAGTGGGGTGATTTTGATGCTGTCATGATGTCCCTCAGGGGCAGTGTTGGAGAGACAGTTATTTTGCCCAGGCTTCCTCTTTTTCAGTCCTGCATAGTCCATCACTGGTCTCTGGAGCTCCAATTCCAGCCAGCACCTTAAACCCTCCAGCTCCAACATTCTGCCTCTCAGCAGCTCTGAGTGGTAATTGTTTCACCTTTTGAAATGCCCACACGCACGCACCTTTTCTTTCCTATCTGGGACCCTGCTAATCAACCTGCTCATTCATTAGTGGCCAAAGTAATGTCCCTTCCCCATCTGTCCCCTTCAGTTACTTCCTTACTGGACACATTGCTCTCAGGCACATCCACCAGACAAGGCCAACAGTCCAATTCAAATACACCCCATATTCCCTGCATCCACCCCACCTTGCCATGGGCCCCTTGGGGTTGCAGAAGGGAGGTTTAGGTCACTTGTCCTCCCCACATTGCCCCTTTCTATCTGCCTGCCAGAAGGACCAACTCAAGGGTCTGTATCGTAGCTCCTCTCCATGTATATGAAACTCAAGGGGAGAATAGACAAAGGCAGCCTGGAGTGTCCTTCTTCGACACTTGCAAACCCTGCAGTCCCTTAAACACTAGTGGCTCTGGAAAAAGCAGAGCTGGGGTGCAAAAGAAAGAGTACAGTGAACTTTGGCATCAAAAGATCTTGGCCTGGAGTCAGCCATTTCCCCTCTCTGTTTTCTCATCTTAAGTGCCTGCCTCACAAGTGATGACAAATGAGCAAAAGTCTATGACTATGCTTGACTCAATAGTCAAGCAGTAAAATTCAGTGTACTTTGCAGCAATGCTAATGTAGATCCTTTTCTAGAAAGCTCTTTGACTTCTCCAGCCATGGCCTCTCTACCTCTCAGGATCTGGACAACTGTTCAGTGTATGGCTGTCTCAGTGAGTCTCTAAGCACTGCCAGGGAAACACTTGCATCCCCCAAAGCCCAGCCCAGCATGAGCTCTTACTATGAAGTAAGGAATTGGGTTGGACTGGACAGAAAGGAGGTAGTTCACACCTTGGAAAGGCATAGCCCCAGGAGGCTGAGGGCCCCTTCTGAAGGAACCCCTAGGTAGGGAGAGAGCCCAGAGGTTGTGGTCTCTTGGAGCCTGCCCTACTTGAGGGCCCTGGGAGCCTGTGTTTCTAGTATCCCCCACCAGTCCTAGCTTGGAAAGGTGGAAGGAGAAAAGTTTAAGTGAGAAAAAGAAGGCATCCTTCTCCTCTTTACAACTTACCCACTCTGAGCTTGGTGTAGGGCTAAAGGTCAGTGGGTCTGGGCATTTGAAGTGATCCAGGCTGTTGGCCACACACACACTAGGGCAAATGAGTTGGGGTTTAAAGATAAGGCTACTGTAGTCCAGCGGGGTCATATGGTTTGGGGAGCGGCAGTACATTATGGAGATTGTGTGGTGGAGAGTGGCTGTGAGCTCCATCTCAGCTGTCTTAATTTGCTAGAGCTGCCCTAACAAAGCACCAAAAGCTGAGTGGCTGAAACACCAGACGTATTTTCTCTCAGTTCTGCAGGCTACACAGTCCAAGATCAAAGGGTGTGAAGGGCTGGTTCCCCTAAGGGCTGTGAGGGAGAATCTGTTCCAATGCATCTCTCCTGGCTTCTGGGAGATTTCTGGCCTTTGCTTTTCTTAGCTTCTAGAAGCATCTCCTCCATCTCTGCCTGTATCTTCATATGACGTTCTCCCTGGGTGCATGTCTGTCTCGGTGTCCAAATTTCCCCTTTTCATAAGGATAATAGTCTTTTTTTTTTTTTCTTTTGGTACTGGGGATCGAACTCTGTTCCTTGCACTTGCGAGGCAGGGGGCGGAACCACTGCACTAAATCCCCGGCCCAAGAATAATAGTCTTATTAGATTCGGACTGATGATTTCAAATTAAAGACCCTATTCCCAAACAAGGTTATATTCTGAGGTACTCAGACCCTCACCCCACCAGTCCCCACTCCAGACTCTTCTCAGAGAGGTTGAGGAGAATGTGAAGTATGTTGGACCCGGCGTCTCCAGGTGGCAGGGCCTGGGTGGAAGGTTTACATCTCACTCCTTCCTCTGCTACCTTCCTTCTCCTACCAGCCCATTCCTGACCATTACCAAAGCGTAAGCCTAAGCCCCTCAGTCACCGACCATCCATCAACCACTGTATCTCCTGGAGTTAAGAGACTCAGCTCCTGCTTTCTTTCCCGCATGCTCACTTGACAACGGTTCTTTCCATTCTCCAGGCCTCAGTTTCCCCACTGTAAAATGAGAGGGTTGGGTGAAAATTAGGACCATTAGGTAGGAGGATCGCTGCATGGGGAATTTTTGTCACTAATCACTGGTTTGAAGCTCGTGATTGATATGCTATTCTTCATGAATCAGAAGAGATTCAAGGTTATTTCTATAAAAAGATCAGTTCCAGTCACTTGAATTTGCAACTGCCTTCCTGAGTAGGAAAGAGAGGCATAAGGTTATATGGAGTGCACTGGGAATTTTGTATAACCCAAGGTCATCTTATCTGTGACCCATGGGAGTATGTGAATGCCGTGGGCTGCACGTAAACAAGGCAGAGCACTGTTACCCTGGGTGATGTCAAAACTTCTTCCCAATCTAAAGTGCAGGCTCACAAATGGCTGGGCTGCTGACCTTATGGTTTGACCACTGACCTCCAGTACCTTGTCTGGGTGACCTTATTTCCTTTTCACACCAACCTCAGCCTGTAGCTTGCAGGAATCCCTCACAGAATTGCCAAAACATCTTTTTCTCCCTTTAAACTTCCCTTACAAATCTTGGTTCTGACCCCAGGAAGCCACATGACACTCAGCTGTCCTGTTCAAGTCAGGCACTGCAGCCACATGCAAATAGCTTGTTCCTCCAGCTGACCCTGATGCTCAGAAGTCTCTGGCCAACCTGCAGTTTATCGACTTTCCTTTTAACATGAGCCACTCATATGTGCTGGATGGGATGGTCCAGGTTATCAGAATGCAGATGATCACATCTTGCCACCAAACTTCCACCTCTATTAATCCAAGCTAGGATGACACTAGCTTTTCTATTTTCTCTCTTTTTCATAAACGGATTTTTTTTTTTTTCGGATTTTAAGGCAATGCATGATCATTGTAGACAATAGTTTCTACCATCCAGGGGTAACAACTCTTAATAGTCAGAAGTGATTCCTTCCAGCCTTCTTCCATGCGTACATTTAAATAAAATCTGAGTAAAAGCATGCCTGCAATTTTGCGTTGTTTCTTTTATTTTACATTTAATCACAAGCCTTTTACCCACAATATTATCTTTGGAAACATCACTCACTGGCTATATCATAAGGCTTTATCATTAGCTTTTTAACCATGACCCCAATACTGGATTTTTAAAACATTTACAACTAGTGATCTTCCATAATAAATTGTACTGTCATGTAGTTGCCTGTATGTAAATGTTTTCCAAACGTCTATTTCCTTAAATAATGATATTCCAAGAAGTAAAATTACTGGGTCAAAAGGTATGAAATTTTAAATTAAAAGAAATTTAGGGGGTTTTTATTTGATTGTAAAGTGATTCACTGCAGATGATCCAGAAACAGAAAAACACTTGCTAATTACAAGAAATGAAAGTACGGTACCAATGGCCTCCAAGTGGGGTGGGGGTGGAGCTATGAAAAAGGGAGCTGACCCCAAACAGCACCCCTCCATCCCAGCAGAGATGACTGCCCCTTTCCAGCCCGTGGAAGGATGCAAGTGTATTATCTAGAGAGGATAAAACAGTTTCAGGATGAGGAACCAACATGTGCATGAGGGTAAGAGCTCAGGGAAAATATAGAGGAATTAAATGGGATTTTACATACTGAATGGTGAGACTTCAGTGTCCCCTATTCCATTTGATCCCCAGAGCACTGGTTGATGAATAAAGCTAAAGAAAAAGGTGAATCTAGCCTGGAGGTCCTGAAGCTTGCCTTGAGGAGGCAAGCTGCAAATCCTGAAAGGTGAGGATGATCTAGGAAGAGCTGGGGAACAGCATTCCAGGCAGAAGGAATAGCAGTTTCCAAGGCTCTGAAAAAGAAGAAATGCTTGAAATGTTTGTTGCCCAGGATTGTTTTTGACTTGTGTTGCCAAATTTTTTTCCAGGAAAAAATTATATGTTCAATAGCATCATCTGAAAATGCTCGTTTCAAGGCACTCACACCAGTACTATCATAATTTTTCTTTTGCTTATTAAACAGCAAGAAAAATGATGTCACCTTTCAGTAGGTAAGCCATTGATTACTAATGGGAGTAGACATTTTAACATATACTTCTTCAGCCAGCAGTATATTTCTTCTGTAATTTTTTGGCTCATTTTCCTATCGTGTTTTAGTGTTTTTAGATCAATTTGTATAACCTCTTTACAGGAAGATTACTATGGTCTGAATGTTTGCAACCCCCCCCCATCACATGCTGAAATAGTAATGCCAAAGATGATGGGATTAGTAGGTAGGGCCTTTGGGGGGCGATCAGGGCATAAAGATATATCCTTTATGAAGGGGAATAGTGTCTTTATAAAAAAAAGGTCTGAGACCTCTCGCCTTTTCCATCATGTCAGCACAGCCGAAAAGTGAGAAATAGACACTCACTAGACGCTGAATTTATCAGTGGCTGGATCTTGGGCTTTCTAGCCTCCAGAATTGAAAAAAAAACAACAACAAGGATTTGTGTTTTGTTTCTAAGCCACCTACCTAGTTCATTATATTTTGTTATAGTAGGCCAAATGAACTAAGACAGAGAAACTATAATTTGTCATTAAACTTTTTCTGTTATTTTGTCTGTGGAAGTTTTTAGTTTCTATGTAGTCAAATTTATCAATTTTCTCCTTTTAATAATTTTGTGCTTTAGCACCCCACATTACTTTAATTTCAGCGTCTAAGGTGAAGTGCTAACTTCATCCCCCCAAATAACCCATGGTTCCAGCAGTACTTACTAGACAACCCTTCCTACTAATCTGTGATATCAGCAATACC